GTCCATTTTAGAAACCCAGCTGTACATACTGATAGACAAGGCTTATGGTTTCAATAGTGGTAGGGTAAAGTCTATATCTGTTGTACCTGCTCAGTACTAATATCTCTGATTCAAGTGGACTAAAGCCTGTAACCATCCCTACCTTACCTTAGATTTAATACCTGTCAACACTCTAACTCAAACCAGCAAAGGAAAAGTAAGATTTCGGCAAATTTAGATTTTCATCATCAGGAAATCTTCTGAATTGTTAAAGATTTCAAAAATCTACTTCATCCAACAGAAAGAGCAGCTTCAAACATTTGTTTTAAATTTTTCCAACTTTGTCAAGTATCAGGTTTTTCAGTCTACCCTGACATTTCTGTTGTACATTTAAAATTTGGTTTAATATTAATCAGTAAATAAATTAGGATTCGATACAATAGACAGCTAAACAATTACAACAAAACTTTCTAATTTATCAAAAATTTATTTTGAATACAGACTTTAAAGTTTAAGGACTTAAAATAAAGTCAAAATTTCTTCTGATAAGTTTATGTCTTTAAGTTATATTTATTTGAAACTGTTTTTGTAACAATTTTCTACAATTTCTATCAAGTTGTGCCATTACAATGTTAAATTAACACCTGATTATAGAAGTCATCACCTTACTGTCATGACTAACACCCAAAGCTTCACCTTCTCCTCCTTACTAACTCTCTTGCACCCTTTAGCTGTGAAATATGTTGATCTCATTTACAATTAGTGTAAAACATGGAACCTGCACAATTGCACATAATTACATTTTTCTCAGTCACAGAAAACGATTAGGTGTGTTTGTTACAGATAAAGAGGTCTCTACCATAGGGGCTACAGCCCACCAGGCTTCAAGCTGACAGCTAAGCCAGACATCAGGAAAAGGGATCAAGTTTGTCACCAAAACAGCCAGGTCTCAGCAGGGAACAAGCAAACCCTGACCCCTATATCCAACAGCTAATCACTTGTACAAACACCACACCTCATTAATGGGATCAAGTCCAGAGTGATCTCCCTTTGGTATTTGTGAAATAATCAATATCCAACAAACTGTTTTCCAGCAATATCTGAACAACACCTCATTAACAGGGTATATACCAGAGTAATCTCCCCTGGGTCTTTGTACTCAGTCTTTGAATATATTGTTGTTTTATTTTCTATAGAACAAATCTGAAATCAATCAATCAATATGAGTGACCTCCCTTGGATATCTGAATTCACTACAATAAAAGTTTTATTTATAACACATGGGATTTCCCTTAATTTTCAAAACTGAAAGCACTGGTTATTTTCTACTTTTTTTGTGTAAAATAACGAACACCTCATTTACAATATTACACGTTATTATTCATGTTAAAAAACAACAAAAGTCAGTAACCAGTGATTTCCCTTTGTATTAAATACTGTGTTGTTTTACGACATACTTCAACCCATGACTTCCTCGGAATGAAATTGAAGAATACAAGGTGAAGAAATAGCATTGAATGACTCCAGTGAAGATTAACATCTCTGACAAATTAATCACTGAAGATTATGTTAGAACCTGTATTCATCATAAAATCTTTACATTGCTTGTGCTGTTTTTCATTCATGAATTTTTATGTCTGTTTAATAGTTTTAATTGTCAATTCCATCCATCCATGGCTTCTTCATTATGATGTGTTGATACATGTCAACACCAGACTTCCACTTTAAATTGTAATAGTGAACTGTTTTCTTCTTTAATTTTTCACAATTTGACATTTTAATATTTCACATTCTTAACACATATTCACTGTTGATATAATTTATGTAACTATCATTAGAGAGACATGGTTTGAACATTTCCTGGTCAGTAATCTACATAAGTTCTTATTATTCATGATAAATAATGTTTGGATTACTTTTAATCTAATTCTTCAAGTCTGGGCAATTCATTTTTTTTTCTTTTTCATAACTGAACGTATGTTCTACAAAAATAAAGACAATTTAATGATGACAATACATATCAGTCTAATAAACATTTTCTTAGTTTAATTAATTAGTTCAATTAACTTTGACAAAAATAAATAATTAATGGTTTATAGTTTTTAAATCAGTTGATTTTAATTTTATCTAAAAACACACTTTTAATGAAATGAATTGGTTTTAATTAGGATGTTTTCAACAAGCAATTAGAAGTTATCATTTCTGTCTTTGTTACACAGTACATTTAATGAAGAGATATTAATGTCATCTTCACTGATTAGGTGATTTATGTCTAACAAACGTACAAATTATTTATTTTCCGTCGTGATAGAGCTGGTATTTCAAAATTTTTGCATGTGTATATTTATTCCTGATCTGATCTTAAGATGTTTTTGCATATAAATCTTTAAAAAATTCAAATAGCAAAAGAATATTTAAAAAAGTCATTTTTATTAATTTAATACATTGCTAATACAATGCTAATACACTGAGGATATTAGTTAACTAAAAACCGTAACCAAAATCATAATTTTTGATAGATTAATTTTGAGAGGTATCTTATATTTCCCGAGAAGACAATCCTTTCTTTTCTTTAAACATATTTCCGTTTTGTATAGCCATGTTTTCTTTTTATTGTTTTCCAGTCAAAATTTAAAACTTTTTGTTCAGTCTTTTTATGACAATTTGATTTTTCAAATAAAGCACATAATATACACAGTCTTTCCTTGAAAGACATTCATTTTAAAATTTTGTTTTGTTATTCAATCATATTATGACAAGTTCAAGCGAGTGTCTATAAGGCACAGACATTTTTTTATTTTAAAAACCTAATTCCTTTCTTGTTTTTGTTTCCTGTCGTCGGGTGTACACAGAATGGCGACACACTAAGCCCTTATGTACGAGTGATAATAGTCGTTTCTTAAGCTATCTTCCTTTGCTTTGTGACTAATTACCAGCCAATGTAATTGTGCCCTACAGAATCCCACAAGTCTGTCGGTGTACTGTAAACATCCAAAATATTTGAGAATCAAAAATGTCTTCCTTTTTTTTTTTTTTTAAAAAACATTTCTGTTGTAAACTGACATTCTGTTTTTCCTTTTTCTCATAGTCAACATTTTCGATTTTGTAATTATGATACAGGCAGAGAATGTGTCATAGGATGAAACTTTCTACCTCATATACTTAACCTGATAATTCAATTTTTTTTTTTTAAAAAGTTGAACCTTTAATTTTAATTTTTATTTCTTCTACTAAAAGATAAGCAGAATTTGTGCTGTGTTACCTAGTTCTCATTAGTTAATATCTATAGGTATAAGAATCCAAACCAAGTTTTTAATATTTCCCATTAAAGCATTTCAGATTCTGATGATTTCACACCAACTTATAGGGTTGTAGATCCTAGAACATCAATGGAACTCCACAAAAATTATTTCATTTAAATAAAATAACTATTTCACTAAAACCTTTACAAGTTTGAACATTTATCACCTGAATTACTATTTTACCAAAAAAATCCTTACAAATTTCAATATTTTCCATCGGAATTATTATTTTACAAAAATTCCAACATTTCTTCACCTGAATTATTACTTGACAAAAACTTTAACAAGTCTGAACACTTCTTCCTCAGAATTATCATTTTATGACGATCCCGGTAAGTTTTAACATCTGAATTGTTATTCTATAAAAAACCTTAATAAGTTTGAACGTTTCTTCACTGATTAATAATGAGTAATGTATATAATTTGACGTGTGTCAGACTTATTGGATGTTTACCGTACCTGTGTAGGTCCTAGACAAGCTAAGTTAACTCACCCAGCCCCTGTCGCCAGTATAGCGGGCTTACTAGGCGAACTGACTCCAGCAGTGTATACCTAGATCATTTCGCTGATAACACTCGTTTTAGACCAGATAGCACAGCAAGCTTACCTGGTCATACACCAAAAATTCTCAAAATGAAATAATTCTACTAATATCTAAAATCTCCACAAAATATTCAAATATTCATAAAGTTTCCAACTAAACACTGAATATTTCATTATGTACTTAAATCAGAAGTTGGATGTGATGTAGTGTGTATTACTGTGTTAAGTTGACAAGACTTAGTGCGACTGTCCGGTGGCGACTAACACTAGGACCCTATACACACACCTATACTAGGTCCCCAGCCTGACGCTGTGTTGGTACACATAGTCTACCTGTTCACACGGACACACAGCCTTGTCAACTTTGCATCAAATCCTGAAAAGTATTCACCTACATATAAATCACACGACAAGACCATAATTTACATCTGCATATTTTGGAGATTACAAGTAACTTTCTGACATCTAAAAACTCAAAAGAATTTTTTTTATCATAATTAGGATTGTCTTTCCATGCTGGAAATTAATGACATTGTTGATTCAGTAAGTTGACTGAACTTATAATCTTACTGGCGCTCAGCGTTCAACAGGACACTTATGTAGTTGTCTATCAGTGGTACGGCCCAGTTTTCATTTGTCCCTAACTTTGCTGTACAAGATTTCTGATGGTTTGACTCGAACTAAATAGAACAAGGTATTTATGTTGTATCCTTAAGCACTTCTATATCACAGGTGGGGGAAAGACAACTGCCCCTTACTCTCCTGTGCACAGACCAACATCCTTTTCTTTCAGTACAGTCTGAACCCTCAACTCTCCATACAAAACATTGCAAGGCCCTTTACTCCATGCATAGACAGAGTCCCCTTCTCTCCACTGTAGAGCCCCCCATATATCTTACAATGGCAGAAACTCCTATATCGCCTAGAGACAATCTCACTACAGGCCAACCCAGCACCAACCTTAGGAACTCTTCAGAAAAAGAGGTATAATAGGTAATGTCACATTTTTCCTGAAGTACAAATCAGTCCTTTATTTAGGTTCTACTGTACTTGATGATAATTTTAATCATTAATGTTCTCAGACATCACTCTGTACATTATTCCCCTGACAAACTAGGGATCGATAGTTTACTTGTACTTTACAAATTAAAAATTTTTAAAAAAATGCTTAAATACCTGAAAAATCCAGACGACGAGGAGTAGGTGTGTTTCCCGTTTCCGTGGAAACATCCATCACAGTTTCTTCTATTTGGTCTATATCTGAAACATTGATCAATACTTAATGAGACAAACACACAAGTGACCAGGAGGACGTGTATGATACAGGTCAGACTCTTGTAAAGCATTGTAATAAGTACCTTGGAAAGCATTTTAGAAACTAATAAAATCAAATCTCCAGATTTGGTGTAATGTGCTCAACTGTTTTAATCTAACACATGCACCAGACAGAGCAACTTAAAATAGAGGGAGGGCTTTCAGCACGACATTAAAACAATATTTTAAGAATTTTTTTGAACTGTTTTAGACATGGGTGGGTTTATTACTGGACATGGGCTTATTTCGTTACAAGAAAACAATAACTGTCTTAAACATAAATATAAGATACTGTAAAGATAGCAGTCAATATCTTATTCCAAAGTATAATTTTGATGTTTATTTAAAGGGTCAATTTCTTACCAACACTTCATCCAACAAAATTATAAGAAAATTGAAGTTTAATATGTTTTACCTGTAATTTTTAGCCTGGAGATCTTGGACCAGTTCCCATTAGTATAGGGCGTATCTGCAATATAACAAAACAGTTATGTTAATTCACCAGAAAAGACTTCTTCTCAAGAACTGCTTTACATGTCATATCTAACAGTCAATGAACTTCGTAACAAATCCCACAGTATTAATATATATCTACATTTTCTAAGAGGGTCACAATAGCTCGATCAGTAGACTTTGCATCCTTAGGAGAAAACGCAAGGTGCTTGATTTAATAGCTATTTCTATTAGAGGAAAGCTAAGATCAAAGATCCTCCTTGGCTGTTGCAGTTGTTTCCTCGGCAAGCAAAAAGATCCACCCAAAATGCTTTGGATAGCATGCTACAGTTCTCCCATATGGTGTTCACTGATGAAGTCACCAGGTACAACATAGAGGCTGTACACAAGACAATCAATACAGAATTCATGTCTTCAAATTGACCCCTGTCATTCACAACATCAACAAAAATATATCTTAATTAATATTGCAGCACAACCTACTCAATACTTATACAGAGAAAAACAGAAATCAATTGGATTCCAGTAATGATATTTTCCTGATTTCCTTTTTTCCAGTGAATATTATTGCTGAATCTTGTAAGTGTTGTGTTCTATATATTAAATGTTCTTGTCTTGTTAGATTTAAATTCTCAACACTGTAGTATATTTTTTCACTACTGTGTATGTATATTGCTCAGCTGCAGTAGGAGATGAAGAAAACAGTAATGTTTACATGACTGGAGTTTCCCTGTGTGGGCCTCCAACATATAGATAGTGGCAGAGACGGGCTGATGGATGTGGAGTCACAGTGCTGGATACAAGAACATGAAACACAGAGGAATCCTACCCTCCCCCATCACTACTCACATCAATTTCAACCCTACCCTCACCTAACACTACTCACATTAGCTCCAACCCTACCCTCACCTAAAATCACATCAACACCAACCCTACCCTAACCCAACACTACTCCCATCAACTCCAACCCTACCCTCACCTAACACTACTCCCATCAACTCCAACCCTACCCTCACCTAACACTACTCATATTAGCTCCAACCCTACTCTCACCTAACACTACTCCCACCAACTCCAACCCTACCCTCACCTAACACTACTCATATTAGCTCCAACCCTACTCTCACCTAACACTACTCCCATCAACTCCAACCCTACCCTCACCTAACACTACTCCCACCAACACTAACCCTACCCTCACCTAACACCACTCCCACCAACTCCAACCTTACCTTCACCCAATACTTCTCACATCAACTCCAACCCTACCCTCGCCCAACACTACTCGCACCAAATCCAACCCTACCCTTACCCAACACTACTCATATAAACTCCAACCCTACTCTCAAAACACATGCTTGCTCCTGAAATTACAAATATCCTTACATACTCACTCCAAACCATATTGTTTTCTATCTATATGGTATTCCTGCTAAAAAAAGACCTATCGTATATGTAGTATTTCATAAGAACATTCAGTAAGTACAGTATGATGGGTTTACATTATCACAAGAAACTTTCGCCATTTGGTGACCGGAATACCTAGTTATAGCATATTTTCACCATTGACGAGAAAACAACCAAAATGATCGGATTCATTATAACCCACATCTATTGTTCTGATCATAATTATGTAAAACAGCTGTTAAAGTTTCTTAATCTATGGGTATAATACAAATGATATAAACAGATCCCTTTAAAAGTTGACATATTATGTATCCTTACAACTAATTACATTTTTAAACTAATTATATAACAGCATCACATACTGAATACCTAAGATCAATATGTTGACATTCCTAACGGGCTCTAAGTACTCTGACACGTTCTAGCACTCCAGCCTAGTTCCTGTTGATGAAGACTATGTTTGTGTTATATTGGTGTCAAGTTCTCCAAGACATACTTCTCCACATGCACCATAAACCACAACAGGCCACAGTCATGAATGGATCAGACCTTCACTGGAGCTGCCCTAAGTGTTTTTGTGGTGGAGAAAAAAAGTTGGAGAAAAATATCTGCATTTTGTCACGTCTGTGCCTGGTTGTAAGGGCACCTGTCTGTCAGTAAGGTCGTTTTAATGGCCTGCAGGCTGCCGACTGTAACAGATTACATGGAATGTCCTGTACATAGGTAATCTAGTATAGGTGTAATACAGGTGATGTTTTATTGGGGTGTGTTTATGGTCTAATATACAGGTAGGTGTGACTACTCCAGAAACAATTATATACTAAAACTATGAAGCTTTTATATTTTACACATATACATACAGTTGTGATATTTGCAAGATATTTTTGGCGAGTCCGTAGCCCTTTTCCCAAAAATTTTGATAAATCCCATTATTTAGACAAATTTAACAGGAAAAGAATGGGTCCAGACTACAATATCTGAGCCCAAAATACATGACAGCCAGAGGTCCTCAACTCTCGCATTTCCCTCAGCCTAAACAACAAACGAGACACTGTTTCTACACATCTTACATGTACCATAGTAATGGGGCCCCAGACCTGATTGTGATCAGACTGTTCAGAAAAATATACATTTCTTCACACCACCTGTAAATTTGAACTGTTTGTTAAATCAAACTCATGATTTCACAGGTACTATACCCAGGTATTTCCTAAAAAACACATTCTTTATCTACAGTTTTCATCCGGTATACCGCCCTGCCGTTTTAACGCCAACTCCGTATATCGTTATGTTTCAGAACATTTGCCTTTGTATATATCAAGTCACATTAATACCACCATGTATGTCAAATAGCTTCTTGTGAAAAATTCTGTATTTCGAAACATATTCTTCACCAACTGAATATCCCTAAACATGACAAAAACTTTCATTACATCACTCGCCTAAAGACTATTTAGATTCTGTATGACGCAACATGATTAATAGATTCTGATTGACATAACAGGATTAATAACAGAATTAATAGATTCTGTATGACAACAGGATTAATAGATTCTGAATGACAACAGGATTAACAGATTCTGTATGACAACAGGATTAATAGATTCTGTATGACAACAGGATTAATAGATTCTGTATGACAACAGGATTAATAGATTCTGAATGACAACAGGATTAACAGATTCTGAATGACAACATGATTAACAGATTCTGTATGACAACAGGATTAACAGATTCTGAATGACAACAGGATTAACAGATTCTGTATGACAACAGGATTAACAGATTCTGTATGACAACAGGATTAACAGATTCTGAATGACACATCAGGAGAAAGAGGACATTTATAATGATACATGTTAAACATTTTGTGACTTAAAACTCAATGTTAAAGTGTTTCTTGTACATGCAGATTCTGATCACGAAACACAAAAGTACGATTTGACCTTATTAAAATGATTGAATGTGAAGTACAAAACGTAACTTTTTTTTAACCCTTCAAAACTTTTTCTCCGACTCACTACAAGTATTTATCACACCTGTTCAAATGTGTAATGTCATCGTCATGGCGATGAAGTTAGTAACTGTCATTTTCCCAGATTCACATAAAAGCGTTTACGATAAAAGCAAACAAATTGTTCTGATATTTAAAAAATACAGGAAATGCTGCTAAAAAAACAGTGCTATATGTGGTAGATTTTGCCACTAGTTGCCCAAGCCTAATAGATATTGCCCGATTCTACTGGATTATCACCCAGAATGCATTTGGCAAGCAGTGAAGGTCAAAGGATTATCAACAGATTTAACGTTTCGAATTAGTCATTTCTTTTAAGCAAGAGAAAAATCCTAAAAAAGTCAGAAAAGTGCAAATCTGGGAGAAAATAAGAAGTTTGCTGATACAATGGATATACTACTACAGTCAGATCCTGGACTTAGTGTACTCAAATATATCAGAAAATTCTTAATACTTCTCATATTCTCAAAATTTCTTCTGAAAGTCTAATAAACTTACTTCAGTTATTCTGTTAAAATGATATCAATCATCCCATCCCAATCAAGATTACATCCATCCCCATGACACAGACCTGTACCCTACAGGCACACATACATCTCTCCCCTCAACACGACACAGACCTGAACCCTACAGGTACACACATACATCTCTCCCCTCAACACGACACAGACCTGAACCCTACAGGTACACACATACATCTCTCCCCTCAACACGACACAAACCTGTACCCTACATGTACACAGTATACATCTCTCCCCTCAACACAACGCAAACCTGTACCCTACATGTACACACATACATCTCTCCCCTCAACACGACACAAACCTGTACCCTACATGTACACAGTATACATCTTTCCCCTCAACACAACGCAAACCTGTACCCTACATGTACACACATACATCTCTCCCCTCAACACGACACAAACCTGTACCCTACATGTACACAGTATACATCTCTCCCCTCAACATGATGCAAACCTGTACCCTACATGTACACAGTATACATCTCTCCCCTCAACACGACACAGACCTGTTACCTACAGGTACACACATACATCTCTCCCCTCAACACAGACCTGTTACCTACAGGTACACACATTCATCTCTCCCATCAACACGACACAGACCTGTTACCTACATGTACACTCATATATCTCTCCCCTCAACACAGACCTGTTACCTACAGGTACACACATACATCTCTCCCCTCAACACGACACAGACCTGTTACCTACAGGTATACAGTATACATCTCTCCCCTCAACACGACACAAACCTGTTACCTACAGGTACACAGTATACATCTCTCCCCTCAACACAGACCTGTTACCTACAGGTACACACATACATCCCTCCCCTAAACATGAAACAGACCTGTACCCTACAGGTACACAGTATACATCTCTCCCCTCAACACAACACAGACCTATACCCTAGCTACATCCCTCTCCTTCAAATGACACAGACCTGCACCCTACCAATAAATGCACACAGTATGCCTCCCTCCCCTTTACATAATCTAGACCTGCACCCTTTGTGTACACAGTATGCCTCCCTCCCCTTAACAGGACACAGACCTGCACCCTTTGTTTACACAGTATGCCTCCCTCCCCTTCACATAATCTAGACCTACACCCTTTGTGTACACAGTATGCCTCCCTCCCCTTCACATAATCTAGACCTGCACCCTTTGTGTACACAGTATGCCTCCCTCCCCTTCACATAATCTAGACCTGCACCCTTTAGGTACACAGTATGCCTCCCTCCCCTTCACATAATCTAGACCTGCACCCTTTGTGTACACAGTATACATCTCTCCCATTAACAGGACACAGACCTGCACCCTTTGTGTACACAGTATGCCTCCCTCCCCTTCACATAATCTAGACCTGCACCCTTTAGGTACACAGTATGCCTCCCCCCTTCACATAATCTAGACCTGCACCCTTTGTGTACACAGTATGCCTCCCTCCCCTTCACAAAATCTAGACCTGCACCCTTTGTGTACACAGTATGCCTCCCTCCCCTTCACAAAATCTAGACCTGCACCCTTTGTGTACACAGTTCACATCCCCTAATCAACTTGTACTTGTCCTGAAGTTAAATTTTACATGCAAGTGCACAGTGAGACTACATCAACCCACACAGTAAATTTTCAGTCTCCATGTCTCCAAACATCCTCCAGTCAGACACATACACCCTAGCCTCCTTCAGTGTTAGGGTAAATTTACTGGGTAATTGTAAATCATTCGATCCCTCGGTCATAATGAAATAAAATGCTGTTCCCTTCTCTATACATAAATATACAAATCTATTTTTTTTTTTAAATTTTACAGTCTATTGACAATTCAAGTCCTTTAGCACCAAACAATACCAAAAAAGATGCTAACAAAAATGAACACATCAAACTACTTTAGAGTATTTAAAATTCGTGCAACCTCTTCCTTGTATCAATTATACTTAATATAGTATTACCCATGGTTAGGGAGTCAGGCCATCCCATCTCCGTAATTATGATTATATAATTTCCTCACAGACCTGTGGGCTAGTGTACATGTCTACATTAATTGTAATTTAGATTCCGACATTTCACTTAAAAACATGAATCTATAAGCATAAGGACTCCAGTACTTTTACACTCTACATAATAATCCTAAGTCTGGTCAAGTGGTCACTGACCCCTCAAAATTGACCATTATTTTCAATTTCACATACAATAGCCTCTATCATTTTCTACTTTTATTTATTTGAAAACTACCGATAACTTTCAGATTGCAGGATTTTCCCTGAGGGCCCTGTCTCAGTGATTATAACAAGTCGTTATTATAACAGACCCGATGTCTAGTGTGTACAAAAATTTTCACTTAATTATTAGCAAATACTAGACTTTATAATACTTATCAAAACATTACTCATGTTTATAACTGATTTTCATTTTCTGTTGTTTTGACAGGGCTGGAAGGGGATGGGGCTGGGACTATGAGGGGGTGGGACTGTGAGGGGGTGGGGCTGGGGCTGTGAGGGGGTGGGGCTGTGAGGGGATGGGGCTGGGACTGTGAGGGGGTGTGACTGTGAGGGGGTGGGGCTGGGGCTGTGAGGGGGTGGGGCTGGGGCTGTGAGGGGGTGGGGCTGGGACTGTGAGGGCTGTGAGGGGGTGGGGCTGTAAGGGGGTTGGGGCTGGGACTGTGAGGGGGTGGGACTGGGACTGTGAGGGGGTGGGACTGGGACTGTGAAGGGGTGGGGCTGGGACTGTGAGGGGGTGGGGCTGGGGCTGTGAGGGAGTGAGACTGTAAGGGGGTGGGGCTGGGGCTGTGAGGGGGTGAGACTGTGAAGGGGTGGTGCTGGGAGGGTTACACTGGGGGGAAATCTACCTGTTGATACCACTATTTAGTCTTAAGTTCATAGCCTGATTTCCATCATATACTCTGTGTGACTTTGTTACTGTATATTGCGTATCTCTCATATTCACCAGTGGTACATTTCAATTAGAAAAGTTTTGAGGACTCAGGGTAAATAAGAGTTTTTTGGCTGGTAGAGGAGTGTCTAACATACTCAGATATACCGAGCCTGGGTACATAACACTTGATATACCTGTTGTAAATCAAGTACATTACAATGGTAATAGAGATATACATGGCTGTGTATCCCTCACACGTCAGAACCATCTCACGAATCTTACTTGTTTGAAAATTTGTATTTTTCTTCTCAGTTTTATGACATTCAGTGATATTTATTGGACTCCAGGAGTCTCATTACTAAGATATAGCGAGTCCAGGACTCAAATATTACTGGACCTTGACAAAACGATATACCCGGATTACCCAGGACGGCATGTAATGGGCCTCCAGTATGTTGTTCAGTGATGTGGCTAAACTAGCCACCAGCTAGCACAAGAAGACTCCGCCTTATAAAGACCAAACAAAATGGAGGCCACAAGCACAAGCCTACATAAACATCCTTGATTTTGATTTTAAGAATAGGACTCCAATACCTCTGTTCCAGGAAATAAACTTAAAAAACTTCTACCAGGAAACAACTAAACATGTCTACGATGATTATCGAATCTTAACTTTGTTTTCGGGATGCATTCCCTTTCTAGCGTTTAATTAATGCTCACTAAAACTGCAGCCATGTTTACTGTTTCTATGATGATTCCAACAGAAAAAACATGAAACAATGAATGATTCAACAATTCCTGCCCCACATATCACTAATGGTTTTTACCTTTAATTATAATTTGATTAATTAGATAATTTGCTCAAAGAATTAATTAAAATTTTTACCCTTTATCTTTTTCCCTATTTTGACATTGATCCAATATGATTGTGTACATTTACCTATATATAAGATTTTCACTATAACTCAGTATGTGTGCATCATTAAATAGCCATTAAGTCATTGATTTCATTTTTTTATCAAATTATTGTGAATAATTCCATGACACAATATTATAATTCACAAACTTTGACCTTAAATGGTATCAAATGTTTTAATTTCTTACATTAAAAACTGTCCATTTTTACAAACTCTGTGAAGATATGTTTAAAATCATCATATTTATCTGGAGAAGCCATATTTTTTGTCAATTAGACCCATATAAAGATTTTATCATGTAATTTTTTCTTTTATAGATGTTAAAGACTATTGCTACAGAACCTGAAAGACTTGACAATGTCCAAGCAAGAACAGGGCTTTTTCAGGGAGCTCTGTTGGGCTAAATATGAACCTCATTCCCAACATTACTTAATTCATGATATGACTGAATTCCTGGAAAATATTATTTACATTTTCTCCTAAAAATGTCCTTCCAAATTGATTAATTTTCTTCCCAAAATGCAATAAAATCGCTCTTTCTCAAATGTGTGGAAAAAAAGACTAGAGGAACTAAGTGTATGTTTTCATCCTGTATATATTGATAAGTGAAGTAATAATGGCTGTACACACAAGTAAATTATCAAATTTTCGAAGCAATTATTCCAAAAGTTGCACACATCATTTGTATTTATATACGTGTGTTTATTGTAATTAAAAAACCTTAGAAAAAACAAACAATTTGGCAGTAATATTTGTAGATTTTTTCACGAGTCCAGAACACAAATTTCAAAATCAGATATACAATAAAGTTGCATCTCCATATTTGAGTCCCACAAGTAAAGCAGAGTCCATGACTAAAATAACTTGAGTTAAAAAATCACTGATTAGAAAAAAAAATCCATGCAGAAATATCATTTAAATGTATGCAGAAGAATTCTGGTTAAAATCTGAAACATGGTAATTATAAAAACACCGAACATAACAGTCCATTATTCAATAGTCTACATATACAGCATTTCATTAACTTCTGTGTGTATTACCTGTACACAGAAATATGTCAGAGGTGGAATTCTCCCTCCAATAATTAATCAATTATCTATTTTAATAACAGATCTACAGCTGCCTGGAATTTGGTGTAAAAATCATGCATATCCATCAATTAAATTCATTACGAGGAATAACCCAGAGAACTGCGATCTTTCAGATATATCACAACAACATTGAGTTGGACTCCATGTCTGCAACCACAATGTGATACTGTATGAATATAGAACTAGACTACGACAAGGTCCCAGCTTACAGTGAAGAACTATATCACTTTAAGGTAACATTTGGTTAAAAGCCATCACAAGCGTTACAATTTTAAAGTGAACGAGGCCATGTCAAATCCACAATGGTAATTCATGTTTTTTTTTCTGCTTTAACACAACAGAATTCACAGTAACAACATTTAACTTATCAATATACCTTCTTAAACAGGACAGGTTAATATCACAAATTACAAAATTAACATTCAACATCTTAACAGATTTCTGTCTACATCACTAACTAGGACACGTCAATATCTTCACTTCAAAAAACAAGAGTTCACCGTCAACATCGTAACTATGAATATAAATCATTTTAAGTAGGACAGGTCGATATACTGCTTGTCCCTGTATTTGTACCGTCTCGACTTAAAAGAAAAAAAAAACTCAGTCAAAATGCTAACAATACCAGTGAAGTCAATTTAACTTGAGAAGATCACAATAACAGCTCATCTGACTTCAACAAATACATTCAATATATTATAGATATATATCAGAAAATTGTTGTACAGTTCACTTGAACAGGTCAAACCAAAAACATTCTGCATCTATTTGTGTTTAACAGCAAATGATAAAGTTTAAACCTCTTTCTGTTTTTCTATGTAAACTTCAATTATATCTAACTGTAATTGATAACTAACTTTAAACAGTATGTCCCTGCAAAGATATATTGCCTGTTTTTGTTAAATAACCCAACGACATTTAGCTGTAAATTAGTAAACAACTGTATTTCTGTAAAGATTATTACCTGTTTTTTGCTGTATACTCCAATGATAGGGATTACAGCATAGATATGCAGGATCGTCCGCACTCTCACAATGTGGCAATCTTTTTAGTTCGGTATTGGGAGTAATGTCACTCCATCTCCACAACTGACAACACAAAATATGAGGAGCGACCGACCTCTTTCCCAACCGGAGGTCACTATTGGGAAGGAGGACACATCCAGTCGTCTCTCCTCCCTTGGTTTCAATACTCTGACACAGCATCTCCAGTTGTTTTTCTTTTAGTCTTTTTAACATGCTCTGTGCGACACACTTAATTTCTGTATCCACGTCTGGACTTGTTGATAAAGATGTTTCATTCTCACCCGAGGTTTCATGGTGTATTCTGTTTTTCCAAAGACGTTTCACGAGTGCAGATCGTTTAGATCGGAACATAAATCATACAACACTTCGGACATTGAGATCTATGTCTCCTCAACATAAGGTAAATAACAATTGACTGTTAAATAATGTCAAAAAGTTCTATTTTAACCACTTAGAACAATGTCATACAATGAAATGTAACATAGTATGAAATAATATATTATTTAATACCGCAACTTTGTTTTGTAAACACACTGGGTGTGTTTTATAAATTAAATTGAAAATATAATACACATCTGGTGTGTATGTTTATATATTGGATACAATAAATGTTACATATTGTAAATAAACAAACGACATCTTGGCTCGCTCTACTCTAAATCTCGGCATCACAACACGGGCATGAGGAATGTCGGATGTACGTACACAACACTCTGACCTGTGGGGTCAGGGATTCTCCTCAGTATGACACGTCCTTCGTTAATCCAGAACTGTCAAATTTACACACACTTCTACACAATGCATCGTATACGTACAGACTACACTCACGGAATCCGACAGAATGATGCTAATCTGGTACTGAATATACCTAAAAACAACGCTGTGATGTTTCCCCTACTTAACCAGCGGAGACACCCTGTCGCTACCACCAAACTCGGTGAAACAAGCCACTAACACACTTTTCTAAATCCTTTCTTAGACTCACAAGTCGTCTCGATAATATCCAAAATTATCAGAATGTCCACACTTCAGTTAAAGCTCAATGTAATATCCAAAATACGGAATTTCTCAGCTCTGTGTAGCTCGTCTTCTCACAGTATCGCTCGCCAATTGTATGACCTGGACGAGTCTATTCTCAAATCGGGGCCGAAGGTCATTCATTTACCTGAGTTGTTCATTAACGTTCATGGGATTTTTCAGTGCCGAGGCGTTGAACACGGCATGAACATCAGCATATGGTACGCAATTTTGAACAGTTTGGTGACTTTGTATTGGATGTCATATTATAAATGTTTATTCGTGGAGGTTTTGAATATATTAAACGTGCACCTCGGTAATACCACAACGAGGAACACACGGTACCTGAAATTGCTGCGACCTCGCTAGCTATTCTGATATCTCGTTGTTTGATTGGTTGATTGCTCCCACGTGGTAGGTCTAGACTTTTTGGCGCGGGCTGAGTCTATGTTAACTATCGGAGGTATGTAGCAAGTCGTGTGTGGATTGTATATAGGCAGGGAGCGCCTTGTATTATTTTAAACCAGTGAAATATCAGAGAGGATCTTTTGACTCGACTAACAGAACAACTACGTCAAAACTTGTTTGTTATAAAGTTATATGTTACGAGAAAAGCGTCTATTCCGGATGACGTGTAAATAAACACTATAGATAATAGTACTTTAAATTCGCGAGCTTAATGATGTTTTTAATGATATTCCGTCGCCAAGTGTCTTCCTATTTTTTAATATTGGAAATATGTAGATAAATCAATTAAGTATCATCCACAGGTAATACCAATTTACCTGCAGGCAAAATTCGTGGAGTAAAGTTTATTCATTTTTTAAAGTTATTTAATGTTTTGAAAATATCTACTTTCAATTTACGGGATTTTAAAATCTGTTTTCTTTCTTTGGTTGATTTTATCAAAGTGTCAACATTTTCCGGATGCAATTAAGATAAAAAAATTCCTTCATTAATGTGACCAGCTGAACAGATATTCTTCTCCGGTAGAAATTTCCGTTTTCTATACTATAGGTTGGTAATGATCTTTTCTCGATAAAAATGACATTTCATTGAAAAAAAGTTATTCTATTTAATTCAATTAGATTCATTTCATTTCATGTTTCATTTGAAATAAATAAAACCCTCACAAATGAAGTGGAAGAGGAGAGGAGGGGTCCTGGTTATCGATTTTTCGGGATTTTTTTTAACGATTTTGGCTTATTTTTCACTTTAGTATATATGAGATACATGAATAGTCTCTGATATAAGGAATAAAAAATGTGTGTTTTAATCTTATGAAGACAGACTGTTTCTGGAATGTGGGCGTATATGTGTAGTTTGGCCTATACTAGAGCATAAGTCTTGAATGTATTTAGTACATGAAAATCGTATCAATATTGTTCTATCAAGGATTATTTTTGTATGCTGGGATTTTTTTTGCAGCCTTTCTCCCAGTGATTGGTTGATGTATATATATAAACACATATAAGCAGTGACTTTGCAGTTATATGGAATATGCCGCCACGAGAAAACTTTCCTCTGAGAGAAAAGATGGCGTGTCGAGGAAAAAAAAAACAAAATCTAATTAATCAAATATTGATTACGACCTGTGTATGTGTGACATATTAAGGAACACGTGTCTTTATTCCTTTCTCTTATAATTCTTATCATCACAATTTCGCGAGAAATGAATGTGTGTCTCCAATTTTCATTATTCTCTGTCTCGTGGACAGTAATTCGGCGATAGAAGATAATACTATGTCCAGCCATCCCCCGTAATTATAACTTTATACAATATTCGCACCTGTATATTTCTCCCCAGATGCCCCATGGTAATTGACAACCAATTAAGAGCACGCGCCACTAATGACATCCATTGTCCACACGAGACGAACGCTAAGCCCCGCCCCGCCAACATGGCGCTGCTTCGCTACAGTTACGACCCGAGAACAAAGCGAGTGGTCCCATCCACTAGTAGTCGATACTTGAACCGGAGTCTTGTTGTTTGAAGCGTGAGTAGCTTAATAAAATAAATAGTTTATTCTTTTCACGAACTTGACGAATTACAGAAGATATTTTCATTATTTTCGGACTGTGTGTATTCTTCATAGTTTAAATACCCAAATGTCGGACATCTAAAAGATATATGTAAAGAGAAACGCCCGATTCGTTTTTATGATTTTAACCTACCAGACTGACAGTATTGGCGGTATAAATCGTTAGGCCTTTCTCTCGATCAATTAGATGTGAGCAGATGATAGTGTTGTCGAGACGGGGAGACAATGAGGAAGAGAGACGGACAGACTAGCCATGCTCTCATGTTTTATATATAATACACTCAACCACTGAATATTCATAACCATACACACGGGTATTTTGTTTATTTTTATACTAAAATTGCCGGTTGACAAACTACCTTCTGTTTTAGAGCGATATCCGATCATATTCATGTTGAATATTCAAGGACCTTTTCTGTTTTAAAGTGGGTGTCACCGATATCAACAAATCGATCCTTGTGTTTGTGGTTTTTCTGCCCAAACTTGTTTAATTAGCAAAACGTCATTATAACTGACGACAAAGTTCTTCCTGGAGTCATATTATGTCTGCGACCGATTTTTATCGCCCCGTATGTCACTTTTGTTAAATCAGGACGTAAATGGGAAATCAAACAGAAATGACGACAATAATGGCCAGGTCATGTTTTAATCATCGTTACGCGACATGGACAACAACGGTGGGTAGTTTGATAAACAGGAATAAATACGATATAACGATCGGAAAACATAGGGATCAAATTACATACACGATCGGTTTTCACACCCGAAACCAAGGTCGTGAGTTTAATATTGGAATGAAACGCTTACGTAATACGGAAGGGTTGATTTTACACGAGAATAGAACGGTCCTAAGTTCAACGGTTTCGTAAAAAAAAAAAAAACAAAAAAAAACCCCAATTAATTTACTTGAAAGGACGAACTGAAATGATGATGAGATGGTACTGTACACACAGACCAAAGTGTCCAGAGTAACAAGGTGGTACTGTACACACAGACCAAAGTGTCCAGACTAACAAGGTGGTACTGTACACACAGACCAAAGTGTCCAGAGTAACAAGGTGGTACTGTACACACAGACCAAAGTGTCCAGAGTAACAAGGTGGTACTGTACACACAGACCAAAGTGTCCAGACTAACAAGGTTCTACTGTACACACAAACCAAAGTGTCCAGACTAACAAGGTTCTACTGTACACACAAACCAAAGTGTCCAGACTAACAAGGTGGTACTGTACACACAGACCAAAGTGTCCAGACTAACAAGGTGGTACTGTACACACAAACCAAAGTGTTCAGACTAACAAGGTGGTACTGTACACACAGACCAAAGTGTCCAGACTAACAAGGTCGTACTGTACACACAAACCAAAGTGTCCAGACTAACAAGGTTCTACTGTACACACAAACCAAAGTGTCCAGACTAACAAGGTGGTACTGTACACACAGACCAAAGTGTCCAGACTAACAAGGTGGTACTGTACACACAGACCAAAGTGTCCAGACTAACAAGGTCGTACTGTACACACAAACCAAAGTGTCCAGACTAACAAGGTTCTGCTGTACACACAGACCAAAGTGTCCAGACTAACAAGGTTCTGCTGTACACACAGACCAGTGTCCAGACAAACAAGTTTCTACTGTACACACAAACCGACGTGTCCAGACTAACAAGGTTCTACTGTACACACAAATCAAAGTGGCCAGATTTTCACACACAGACCAGTCATTTGACACACAAACCGACTTTCTACCTAACAAGGTTCTACTGTACACACAAATCAAAGTGGCCAGATTTTCACCTCATTTGAACGACTTTCTACCTAACTTATTAGATCTACCGCCTAACTGGTAGGACTTATTCCCTAACTTGTACGATCTACCGCCTAACTTGTAAGACACACCGCCTAACTTGTACGACTTACCGCCTAACTTGTCCGATTTACCGCCTAACTTGTACGACCTACCGCCTAACTTGTCCGATTTACCGCCTAACTTGTCCGATCTCCGCCTAACTTGTACGACCTACCGCCTAACTTGTCCGATTTACCGCCTAACTTGTACGACCTACCGCCTAACTTGTCCGATTTACCGCCTAACTTGTCCGATCTTCCGCCTAACTTGTAAGACATACCGCCTAACTTGTACGACTTACCGCCTAACTTGTCCGATTTACCGCCTAACTTGTACGTCCTAACGCCTAACTTGTACGTCCTACCGCTCAACTTGTCCGATCTCCGCCTAGCTTGTACGACCCTTTTGACTCGGTTGTCTGATTTTTCACCTTATTTATCCTTTGGACGACTTTTCATTGTATGATCTTTTCTGTAATTTGTTTTGTGTTTCCATCCGATTTGTGCAGCTTTTCCTCTCCTTTTTATTTTGGTGGATTTTCGTTCATAACTTGTACGACCCTTTCTTTCTTTGTGGTGACCTTCCATCTCAATTGTACGATTTTCATCTCATTTGTACGGCTTTTCCCTAGTTTGTAAGACTTGTGATTACATTAATCTTATTTATTTTCGGCTGAATTGTGTGACATTTTCACATATTTTTTCCTCCTTTGTACGACTTTCCCCTCCTTTGTACGACTTTCCCTCCTTTGTACGACTTTCCCCTCCTTTGTACGACTTTTCCCTCCTTTGTACGACTTTTCCCCTCCTTTGTACGACTTTCCCCTCCTTTGTACGACTTTTCCCCTCCTTTGTATGACTTTCCCCTCCTTTGTACGACATTTCCCTCCTTTGTACGACTTTTCCCTCCTTTGTACGACTTTTCCCCTCCTTTGTACGACTTTCCCCTCCTTTGTACGACTTCCCCCCCCCTTTGTACGACTTTCCCTCCTTTGTACGACTTTTCCCTCCTTTGTACGACTTTCCCTCCTTTGTACGACTTTTCCGGTCCTTTGTACGACTTTTCCGGTCCTTTGTACGACTTTTCCCCTCCTTTGTACTACTTTCCCCTCCTTTGTACGACTTTCCCCTCCTTTGTACGACATTTCCCTCCTTTGTACGACTTTTCCCCTCCTTTGTACGACTTTTCCCCTCATTTGTACGACTTTTCCCCTCCTTTGTACGACTTTTCCTCTCCTTTGTACGACTTTTCCCCTCCTTTGTACGACTTTTCCCCTCCTTTGTACGACTTTTCCCTCCTTTGTACGACTTTTCCCCTCCTTTGTACGACTTTCCCTGCTTTGTACGACTTTTCCCTCCTTTGTACGACTTTTCCCTCCTTTGTACGACATTTCCCTCCTTTGTACGGTTTGTGATTACATAAATGTTATTAATTTTCTGCTTTGTCTTCCCTGTGTTCGATTTTTTCTCCCTTTGTACGTCTTTGTGTCCCCTTTGTACGACTTTGTGTCCCCTTTGTACGACTTTGTGTCCCCTGTGTACGACTTTGTCTCCCCTGTGTACGACTTTGTGTCCCCTTTGTACGACTTTGTCTCCCCTTTGTACGACTTTGTGTCCCCTGTGTACGACTTTTTCTCCCCTTTGTACGACTTTTTCTCCCCTGTGTACGACTTTGTCTCCCCTGTGTACGACTTTGTCTCCCCTTTGTACGTCTTTGTCTCCCCTTTGTACGACTTTGTGTCCCCTGTGTACGACTTTTTCTCCCCTGTGTACGACTTTGTGTCCCCTTTGTACGTCTTTGTCTCCCCTGTGTACGACTTTGTGTCCCCTTTGTACGTCTTTGTCTCCCCTTTGTACGACTTTGTGTCCCCTGTGTACGACTTTTTCTCCCCTTTGTACGACTTTGTCTCCCCTTTGTACAACTTTGTCTCCCCTGTGTACGACTTTGTCTCCCCTTTGTACGTCTTTGTGTCTCCCCTTTGTACGACTTTGTCTCCCCTTTGTGCGACTTTGTGTCCCCTTTGTACGACTTTGTCTCCCCTGTGTACGACTTTGTCTCCCCTTTGTACGACTTTGTCTCCCCTTTGTACGACTTTGTGTCCCCTGTGTACGACTTTGTCTCCCCTTTGTACGACTTTGTCTCCCCTTTGTACGACTTTGTGTCCCCTGTGTACGACTTTGTGTCCCCTTTGTACGACTTTGTCTCCCCTTTGTACGACTTTGTGTCTCCCCTGTGTACGACTTTGTCTCCCCTTTGTACGACTTTGTGTCCCCTTTGTACGACTTTGTGTCTCCCCTGTGTACGACTTTGTGTCTCCCCTGTGTACGACTTTGTCTCCCCTTTGTACGACTTTGTCTCCCCTTTGTACGACTTTGTGTCTCCCCTGTGTACGACTTTGTCTCCCCTTTGTACGACTTTGTGTCCCCTGTGTACGACTTTGTCTCCCCTGTGTACGACTTTGTCTCCCCTTTGTACGTCTTTGTGTCCCCTTTGTACGACTTTGTGTCCCCTTTGTACGACTTTGTGTCTCCCCTGTGTACGACTTTTTCTCCCCTGTGTACGACATTTTCTCCTCATTGTACGACTTTGTCTCCCCTTTGTAAGACTTTTTCTCCCCTTTGTATGACTTTGTGTCTCCCCTGTGTACGACTTTTTCTCCTCTTTATACGACTTTGTCCCCTTTGTACGACTTTGCCCCCCCCCCACCCGTGTAAGATTTTGTCTCCTCTGTTTATGACTCATGACCACGATGTTCGTTTTCTCTCTTCTGTATCCCTTGTTTTCCTCTGATTATACGGCATTTTTCTGAAGGTAATGACATTTTCAATATTCCTTTGTACAGAATATGCAATTTGCTGTTATATAAAAAAATAAAACATTAAGTGTTTTTTTGAAAGCCAATCAAATCTAGACTCAGGGTTGCTGAGTTAAAACGTACTGTGTTATGTTAATCTGCCGAATGCTAACTGAAGGTACATCAGTTTAAATGACAAGATCTGATTGGACGAGAGGTTATGAGTTTAACACACGTGATTATTGAATTTTACACGTTTTCCCACGAGCCGCTTGTACGTTTGAGTAACCCCTGTAAGCGCAATTATATGGGATAACTCGTGTTTATTTAATGTAAAATATGTCTCTACCATCTCGTCAAGAGGTATGCCTCATGGTGTATCCTTTTATACATAGTCACTCTGAAAATCTTTGATGTGTTTTATCGTGTGTGAACGACCTAGTTTGTCTGGGACAATAAATACTAATGAATCATTTGTCATTAAAAATTCAATATTTTGTGACGCCAGTTAAAATATAAAACTGAGCGTCAGTGTTAATTCTTGAGACTTACGTCTGAAATATTAAGGAAAGAGTTAAATTCGAGACGTTTTATAACAACGTGACGAGAAAATTGCCCGACTACATATTTATGTCTACGAAATTTGAACAGAACTATAAACTATTCGTTCTGATTTCAAATTCATCTCTCCCCTTTTAACTTGATATAGTCCCGTGGTTGATTGACTCGTTAAACCTGTAGCCTGGGTAATTTATATCTCATCAGAGACCGGATTATTGGTTCGAAATTCCAGCTTCAAAATATCGTGTATTGTCACATAACATGACCACATGGCAGCCAAAAAGGATAAAATGAAACAAGGTTTAATTATAGACAGAGAATCTGGTCTGATTCTGTTTGGACAAATTATCAATAGAGAGAAATGCTTGTAATGTTGCTATGTAACTACTTCTTTATTGTTGTTTTACGCCCTGTTTATAGTTATGGATGCCATACATTACATGTTTGTCCAATACAAAACCTACTGGAAGTCATCTCTAGCTTAGACAATACCAAGAACGATCACACGTCCCTGAAAACACGGGAAAACATTTTACAATGATATTCGAGATGTGATTTCTCCTCGGTTTGGTTAAGATACATTTCAAAAGCACAAACATCGATTGGAAATTATTTCAATGAGCATTCAGAATAAAAAAAAAAAAAAAAAACTAAAGAAAAACGCCTGTTTCCTTTACGAAGCAATGAATGGAGTGACCAGTTCTTGAAGAAAGTTCACTGTTTGGCGAATGGACAAAAATAAAGTCAGTTGACAAATTAAAGTCGGGACACATTTACGTACCGGTAACTCTCTTTTACTCTAGAAATTCTGCTATTCTCTCACAGACAGGAACTTATTTAGTTTACTTCCGGTTCTGAGCGTTTCCCCCAAAGTATACGTAAATATTTACGTAAAAACTATAAACTTTATTTATTATACAACAATTGCGAAACAAGTTATTTCAACTTATACTAATCACTCTTGTTGGCCCGGATGTAAACGCGCGAGGGGTCTAATTATGGGAGGAAACCGGAGTACCCGTGAAAAAGCCCACGTGGTCGGGCAGGTGACCCTTACCTTTTCACGTCCGTTCCAGGAGTCGAACCCCGGACGTCTAGGTGAAAAGCGGGTGCATTACTACTGCGTCATCCGACCACCCCCGATATTAACGTACGAATCGACACCCGCCTCCCCCCTCCCCTCACTCCGATATAATTTACGCACAAGTATATCATGCCGGTACGTTTAAACACACGAGCCTGTCGTAACACTTTACACATAGTTTAACGTTTGTCACGACTGTTGTTTTAAGTAGTATCAATTTGCGGAACTTCCAGCAATCAATTTTCTCGTCTCTTGTTTATACAACGTTGGAGTTTGTGTTTTCTGTAACTTAATATTAACTTACTCATAAACGGTGTGTATAAAATCACGGAAACAATAACAAGAGGACCCACTGTTGTGTGATCTTTTCTTGACGTTCATAAATATCATCTAATGAAACTGCATCAAACATCATAGGGAGTATATAGTACGAGGACGATCATCCAGCACTTTTCAAGCACAGACGACAAAAAGTAAATATCTAAAATGGCTGTATGTCCTTCATATCTTTTTTCCAATCAGTCCCAGAATGTATGATTTGGAGTGGGGAAGTGTATGATTTGGAGTGGGGAAGTGTATGATTTGGAGTGGGGAAGTGTATGATTTGGAGTTGGGAAGTGTATGATTTGGAGTGGGGAAGTGTATGATTTGGAGTGGGGAAGTGTATGAATGAGTGATTTGGAGTTGGGAAGTGTATGATTTGGAGTGGGGAAGTGTATGATTTGGTAGGGAAAGTGTATGATTTGAAGTGGGGAAGTGTATGATTTGGAGTGGGGAAGTGTATGATTTGGAGTGGGGAAGTGTATGATTTGGTAGGGAAAGTGTATGATTTGGAGTGGGGAAGTATATGATTTGGAGTGGGAAAGTGTATGACTTGGAGTGGGGAAGTGTATGATTTGGAGTGGGGAAGTGTATGGGAAAGTGTATGATTTGGAGTGGGTTAGTGTATGATTTGGAGTGTAGTGTATTACTTGGATTGGGGTAGTGTTTGACTGTTTGATTTGGAGTGGGGAAGTGTATGATTTGGAGTGGGGAAGTGTATGATTTGGAGTGGGGAAGTGTATGATTTGGAGTGGGTTAGTGTATGATTTGGAGTGGGGAAGTGTATGAATTGGATAGGGTAAGAGAAAGAATGAAAGAAATTGAGAGTGTAAGATGAAGTTTTGGAGTGGGGAAGTGTATGATTTGGAGTGGGGAAGTGTATGATTTGGAGTGGGGAAGTGTATGATTTGGAGTGGGTTAGTGTATGATTTGGAGTGGGGAAGTGTATGATTTGTTAGGGAAAGTGTATGACTTGGAGTGGGGAAGTGTATGATTTGGAGTGGGGAAGTGTATGATTTGGAGTGGGTTAGTGTATGATTTGGAGTGGGGAAGTGTATGATTTGGTAGGGAAAGTGTATGACTTGGAGTGGGGAAGTGTATGATTTGGAGTGGGGAAGTGTATGATTTGGAGTGGGGAAGTGTATGATTTGGAGTGGGTTAGTGTATGATTTGGAGTGGGGAAGTGTATGATTTGGAGTGGGGAAGTGTATGAATGTATGATTTGGAGTGGGGAAGTGTATGATTTGGAGTGGGGAAGTGTATGATTTGGAGTGGGGAAGTGTATGATGTGGAGTGGGGAAGTGTATGATTTGGAGTGGGGAAGTGTATTGTGTATGATTTGGAGTGGGGAAGTGTATGATTTGGAGTGGGTAAGTGTATGATTTGGAGTGGGGAAGTGTATGATTTGGAGTGGGGAAGTGTATGATTTGGAGTGGGGAAGTGTATGATTTGGAGTGGGGAAGTGTATGATTTGGAGTGGGGAAGTGTATGATTTGAAGTGGGGAAGTGTATGATTTGGAGTGGGGAAAGTGTATGATTTGGAGTGGGGAAGTGTTTGGAGTGGGGAAGTGTATGATTTGGAGTGGGGAAGTGTATGACTTGGAGTGGGGAAGTGTATGATTTGGAGTGGGGAAGTGTATGATTTGGAGTGGGTTAGTGTATGACTTGGAGTGGGGAAGTATATGATTTGGAGTGGGGAAGTATATGATTTGGAGTGGGGAAGTGTATGATTTGGAGTGGGGAACTGTATGATTTGGAGTTTGGGTGGGGAAGTGTATGATTTGGAGTGGGTTAAGTGTATGATTTGGAGTGGGGAAGTGTATGATTTGGTAGTGGAAAGTGTATGATTTGGAGTGGGGAAGTGTATGATTTGGAGTGGGGAAGTGTATGATTTGGAGTGGGGAAGTGTATGATTTGGAGTGGGGAAGTGTATGATTTGGAGTGGGGAAGTGTATGATGTGGAGTGGGGAAGTGTATGATGTGGAGTTGGGAAGTGTATGATGTGGAGTGGGGAAGTGTATGATTTGGAGTGGGGAAGTGTATGACTTGGAGTGGGGAAGTGTATGATTTGGAGTGGGGAAGTGTATGATTTAGAGTTGGGAAGTGTATGATTTGGAGTGGGGAAGTGTATGATTTGGAGTGGGAAAGTGTATGAATGAGTGATTTGGAGTGGGGAAGTGTATGATTTGGAGTGGGTAAGTGTATGATTTGGAGTGGGGAAGTGTATGATTTGGAGTGGGGAAGTGTATGATTTGGAGTGGGGAAGTGTATGATTTGGAGTAGGGAAGTGTATGAATGAGCGATTTGGAGTTGGGAAGTGTATGATTTGGAGTGGGGAAGTGTATGATTTGGAGTGGGGAAGTGTATGATTTGGAGTGGGGAAGTGTATGACTTGGAGTGGGGAAGTGTATGAATGATTGATTTGGAGTGGGGAAGTGTATGATTTGGAGTGGGGAAGTGTATGATTTGGAGTGGGGAAGTGTATGATTTGGAGTGGGTTAGTGTATGATTTGGAGTGGGGAAGTGTATGTGTATGATTGTATGGGAGTGGGGAAGTGTATGATTTGGAGTGGGGAAGTGTATGATTTGGAGTGGGAAAGTGAATGATTTGGAGTGGGGAAGTGGGTAAGTGTATGATTTGGAGTGGGGAAGTGTATGAATGGATTTGGAGTGGGGAAGTGTATGATTTGGAGTGGGGAAGTGTATGATTTGGAGTGGGAAAGTGTATGATTTGGAGTGGGGAAGTGTATGATTTGGAGTGGGGAAGTGTATGATTTGGAGTGGGGAAGTGTATGATTTGGAGTGG